AGTATTTTTAATTTATATTGGGGGGGTCGCACTCAGAGGCTTGCTGTGTGAAAGGGGTCACCAGTACAAACGTTTGAGAACCCCTGACCTAGCACAAGTGTCCCCCCTCTCAGGTGAGGCCTCAAGCAGCTACTGTAATAAGCAATAGCATCCTAGCCTAATCATTTTAGCACAAAGGTCTGCTGCTGAGACACTGTTAATAGGATTCAATTAAATTTAAAACCCTACCCTGCCTATGCCACAGAAAACACTATAAAGAAGTTCAGATCACTTGGTGAAAGGCTAAAAGCAATCAGAAACTGTGCAAGCTAGTCAATTTCTCGCCCTAATTACTGACATTGGCTTTATTCCTTCCTTGGTAAGTAAGAAGGTGTTGGGTGTTGGCAAGGATGGAATGTTATTTCCAAAGATACAGAGACACAAGTTGCTTTGGGCAAGCTGGCTTAAAATCAGAATGGGGCAAAAGAATTCTAACTAAACATGAGGCACGTGGAGAGTATCTGTACATGAAATATTGAGGTAATTTCCTTACAGAGGAAACTGAATGCTGGGCCAGCTTCATGAACTCCCCTATGTTTCCCTTCTGAGATATACATTACCTTTCTGGGCAGCTCTCTTTATCACATCACTAGCTACTCCAGTACAATACTGCAGTGTAATCAGCAACAACCTTGGGTACTCTTGCAGCAGGGTAACAACAGACACAGCATGCCACAAAGGATATTAAGTCTCAAGACTCAGAACTCGCTTTTCCATTAACCAACTGTTTGTGTCCAGAGTTTATATACCTTCTGTTCACCATACTGCAATCTGCTGCCATGGAAATGACTATTCATTCAACTACATTCATTATTCTATCATCCTCGTGATCAAACAAGGCTGGCAGGGAGAAAGTTCATGCATAAATAAAAAGCACTGAAGGGGTTTAGAGTATGCTCTACTTTATTACTGGAAGAACTGTGTAGATCTGGTGGGCAGTAAAATCTGTTTCCATAACAAGCTCTCCCCCCCTCCCCATGGGTATTTATTTTAATGGGTTTAACAGAATTACTGAATTCTCTTTAATGGGTACCCAGCAAGTCTATTAACTTCAGAAACGCATTCTTTGTTACAGGTGGGATAACCACTCTGCAGTCAAAGATGATTTAATAAACACCTTTATTTGCCTTCATGAGATTTTTTTTTTAATTTAAGACTTCATTGTCATTTTATTATTATGATTATAGTCACTTCATCAAAATATTGTTGGATCTATGTGGCAACATTTGATTACCCACCCTTTGTACATTCCGGTCACTGTGCTTGGCAAGGCCAATGTTCTCCTCTTCCCCTTTCTTTGTGTATGTACCTATATATTTAAACAAAAGAGAGTGGAAAATATAAACCCAAAGAAGCCTGACACTGTTCCAGCCTCGGCTAGCAGCAGTGTTCTCCTAATCAAATGACAACGGGATACGTTCTGTGCATGGCCAGCATCCACAATAATGTGATGCTTTGTAACATGTAAATATCCCATATGTCCCAAGTTGTTTTTAATATTGTTGTTTGCAGCAGAGCCTAAAGGGCGCAGCTGAGATCAGGGCCGCTTTGTGCTAGGATCTGTACATACATAGAATATGAGACAATCCCTGCTTGGAATAAATCCCAGGTCCCCCTTTGTCCCGATCCGGTTTCTTAAGCACAAAACCATCCTTCCTCTCAAACAGACATTGCCAAAAAGCTACCAATATTTGCAAGGCACAAACAGCAGGAGGAAAGGGCCACAGATGCACACCCGGTTTTTTGTTTTTAACGCCACGGAAACCCTTGGCACTGGAGGAGCTTTTTAGACGGCCAGAGGGTACAACATGGTAGGAATTTCCACACAGGAATTGGGGCTGTCCCTATTAAGGAAGCAGAGGTGGCAAACCCGGGAGAGCCTGGCTCCTGTCTTCTCCTGGGTGACAGCCGCAGCCTTCGAAGCATCCCGCTGCAGGAGTTTCTCCCATTTAAAGAAAAAAGAAAAGGAGTACTTGTGGCACCTCAGAGAAGAACAAATTTATTTGAGCATAAGCTTTCGTGAGCTACAGCTCACTTCATCGGATGCATTCAGTGGAAAATACAGTGAGGAGATTTATATACACACAGACCGATCACTCTCCTTACAATGTGTATTTTTTCATGGTCTGAGTGTATATAAATCTCTTCACTGTACTTTCCACTTTATGCATCCGATGAAGTGAGCTGTAGCTCACGAAAGCTTATGCTCAAATAAATGTGCTCGTCTCCAAGGTGCCACGAGTCCTCCTGTTCTTCTTGCGGGTACAGACTAACAGGGCTGCTCCTCTGAAACCTCCCATTTAAAGGCAACTCCCCCCCCGGCAACCTCAAGTCTCCCTCTTCCCCAGGCATCTGCAGAGACTGGGGCGACGCGCGGCGACTTATCTGGGCACCTCACTGCGCCCCAGGGGAGGGCGCCTGCCTGCCCCCCAGCCCCGTCAGAGCGGATCGCGGCCCCCGGGCCGCTCCCGGGAGGCTGGTCCCGCGGCGCAGGGGCGAGGGGGCAGCGGGGGGGGAGGGGGGGGGATTGCACCCGCTGGGGGCCCCGGGCGGGATGTGCCGGGCAAAGCCCCCCGCGCTGGGGCCGGGGCCCGGCTCCAGCCCCGCAGGCCACGCCGGGGAGGGGACGGTGCCACGCGGCGCCGCGCTGAGCCGCCCCCGGCCCGGCCGCTCCCCAGCTCCCCTACTCACGGGCCGGCTCCGCTCCGACGGGCTCGCCGCGCTCCCCGCCCGCGCCTCGGCCCAGCCCCGCTGCGGACGGCGCGTCTCTCCGCCTCCTGCGCAGGGATGCGGCGCCCAGGGGCCGCTCAGCGGGCGGCGGGGTCAGGGTCAGGGACAGGCGTGGGGCCGGGGGCCGGCCGGCGCCTGTCGCTCCCGGCACACGCGTGACCCTCAGGGGGTCGCAGGTGGGGAGCATCAGGCTGGGGGCGGCGGGAGGGTGCCTGCCACAGGGTGACCAGACAGCAAGTGTGAAAAAGCGGAGCGGGGCGGGGCGGGGGGGAATAGGTGACTATGTAAGAAAAAGCTCCAAAAATCAGGACTGTCTGGATAAAATCGGGACATCAGGTCACCCTATGCGATGACTGTCAAGTCCCCGTTGGGGGCGCATGTGGTGATTGTCAAGGCCCGGTTGGGAAGAGGGGGGCCACCTACACTGACCGTCAAGTCCCTATCACCCAGGGGCTGAATGTGGTGACCGTGACCCAGATCAGTGCTTCCCAACCCGGGGCCTGGGGGGCGGCCACAGGCAGGTTTCGGAGGGGGGGGGCCGCCAAGCATGGCCGGTGTTAGACTCGGTAGGGGCCAGGCCATAAAGCCAAAGCCCCACTGCACAGGACTGCAGCCCGGAGCCCCGAGCCCCACCACCCGGATGAAGCCAAAGCCTGAGCAACTTTGCTTCACGGTGCCCCCTGTGGCAAGGGGCCCTAGGCAGCTGGCCTGCTTGCTCCCCCTTAATGCCAGCCCTGACTTTTAAATGCAGAAAAACAGTTGTTGGGGCACAGGTGGGCCATGGAGTTTTTATAGCATGTTGGGGGCACGTGGGTGTCAGAAAGAAAAGGAGAACCCCTGACCCAGACATACCCAGGCAGGTATGTTACCTGTGTCCAGCCCTCCTCTCAGTGTTTCACCAGAGGGGGTTGTGTGTGGCTTCTGCTGAAAGCTAAGCACTGGCTGATTGCCATGGTTATTGTGAGAGGTTTGTATGGGAACTAGTGTAAGATCTGCAAACTGTAGAATATTAGGGTGCGAACCAGTTGAAGCAGCCTGGTCACCTGAGGTGAGACGGGACTTCAGGGCTAACTCAATCAGCCTTGAGAACAATCCACAGCACTTAGTTCAGTGGCTGGACCAGCCACTTACAAAGACAAATGAACCCCAGAATTGCTTTCTGAAGAGGGGACCCCTTGAACTGAGAGACAATCGTCTGTAACAGTGTGACAGCAGAAGAAGTGACACAGGTTGTTACCCATGACTGAGGAGAAACTGCCAGCAGGGATGTCTCTTCAAAGATAGAGTCCAGCTCTCTGAACTGGACTAATGTAGTGCTGTAAAGATTGACCCCTAGGTGAGAGAAATATCTTATGCAGCAGCCAGTTTGACACCTAGGGCATCTCTCCAGCACTGTAATCTCTATTCATTCCCTGTTGGTTTCTGGGTGGAGTTCAAGGGGTTGGTTTTTACCTGTAATGCCATACACGGCTTGCGGACTGACTGTTTCAGAGACCACCTTTTTCCATGCCCTATAGCCATAGTCAGCAGAGCTGCTGGAGTTGCCTTGGCATTACTATTATCCCCATTGACCGAAGGGGAGTTAAGGCACAGAGAGCCTAATACACAGGGAGGCTAGGGTAGTGCACAGCACTAAATGTAGGTTCCCCGATTACTGTTCTAACCCCTGCACCATCTTTCCACTTCAGGCTGTAGGACAGATGCTATTGCCCATCTGAGTTCAGGGAGTACATTCTCCCATAATATTCCACTTCAGCAGACTGAGCATTGGGCAGGGTATGCAGATATCTTATGCTGAAGCAAGTGATCTAGGTCTTGAGGCTGCTCCAGAAGGCGGGACATTGAACACGATAGACTGTTGGCCCTTCCCGTACAGCGACTTCCTCACTTGCAGTGTAGTGGCCTGCCCTGGTTCAGGCATGGATGGTTAGAGGGGGTATGATCCTCACTCACCTAATTCAGATTGTAGACACACTAGGACAGAGACTGTGTCCTGTGTCTTCCTGGTTTGCACAGCACCGAAAAGGCACGTGAGTAAGAAAATTCTCCTGGCAAGCAGGAGCAGAGGTCTTGCCTCCTTCTCTCTCAGTGTGGTACCAAGCACATGGACATCACTCAATGATCACTCTGCATACATACGTAGAGAGCGTGTTCCTTGTGGCAGAGATAACAGAGCCCAAAAGGCATCAGGCTCAGTATATGTTGCCAGATCTGCCTGCCCATCTTCTTACCATCATTATTCTGTGGCACTGCACAGCTGATTTTTCCAGTTTCCACCATCTCCTGTAGCAGCCCAGGGAAGCATGAATTAGTTTCTCCTAGCTGTAAGTGGAGACAAAAATATATAAGTTTTAGGGCTGTCAAGAGATTAAAAAAATTAATTGTGATTAATCGCGCGATTAAAAAAATTCAATGCACAATTAATCGTGCTGTTAAACAATAATAGAATACTATTTATTAGGGGTGTCAAGTGATTAAAAATGATTAATTGCACTGTTAAACAATAGAATACCATTTTGATTTCAATTACAACATTGAATACAAAGTGCACAGTGCTCACTTTATATTTATGCTTGATAATTATTTGCACTGTAAAAAAACAAAAGATATAGTATTTTTCAGTTCACCTCATACAAGTATGGTAGTGCAATCTCTTTATCATGAAAGTGCAACTTAAAAATGTAGATTTTTGTTGTTGTTACATAACTGCACTCAAAAACAAAACAATGTAAAACTTCAGAGCCTACAAGTCCTCTCAGTCCTACTTCTTGTTCAGCCAATCAGCTCAGACAAACAAACTTCTTTACATTTGCGGGAGATAATGCTGCCTGCTTCTTGTTTACAATGTCACCTGAAAGTGAGAACAGGCATTCTCATGGCACTGTTGTAGCCGGCTTCACAAGATATTTACGTGCCAGATGCATTAAAGATTCACATGTCCTTTGTGCTTCAACCACCATTCCAGGGGATATGCATCCATGCTGACGATGGGTTCTGCTTGATAACAATCCAAAGCAGAGCGGACTTGACGCATGTTCATTTTCATTATTTGAATCAGGTGCCACGCAGCAAAAGGGGTTTTTTTGTTTTTGTTTTTCTTGGTGGTTCAGGTTCTGTAGTTTCCGCATCGGAGTGTTGCTCTTTTAAGACTTCTGAAAGCATGCTCCACACTTCATCCCTATCAGATTTTGGAAGGCACTTGAGATTCTTAAACCTTGGGTCGAGTGCTGTAGCTATCTTTAGAAATCTCACATTGGTATCTTCTTTGCGTTTGTCAAATCTGCAGTGAAAGTGTTCTTAAAATGAACATGTGCTGGGTCATCACCAGAGACTGCTATAACATGAAATATATGGCAGAACGTGGGTAAAACAGAGCAGGGGCCATACAATTCTCCCCCAAGGAGAGAAATTTCAGTCACAAATTTAATTAAACACATTATTTTTGTAATGAGCATCATCAGCATGGAAGCATGTCTTCTGGAATGGTGGCTGAAACATGAAGGGGCATATGAATGTTAGCATGTCTGGCACACAAATACCTTGCAATGAAGGCTACAAAAGTGTCATGTAAATGCCTGTTTTCACTTTCAGGTGACATTGTAAATAAGTAGAGGGCAGCAGTATCTCCTGCAAATGTAAACAAACTTGTTTGCCTTAGGGATTGGCTGAACAAAAAATAGGACCGGGTGGACTTGTAGGCTCTGAAGTTGTACATTGTTTTGTTGTGGAGTGCAGCTATGTAACAAAAAAAAAAAAAAATCTGCCTTTGTAGGTTGCACTTTCACAATAAAGAGATTGCTCTACAGGACTTGTATGAGGTAAATTGAAAAATACTATTTCTTTTGTTTGTCATTTGTATAGTACAAATATTTGTAATCAAAAATAATATACACTTAGATTTCATTTACAACACAATACAATAAATATGAAAACATTGAAAAACATCCAAAATATTTAATAAATGTCAATTGGTATTCTATTGTTTAACAGTGCAATTAAAACTGTGATTAATCACAATTAATTTTTTTATTGCGATTATTTTTTTTGTAGTTAATTGCGTGAATTAACCGTGATTAATTGACAGCCCTAATAAATTTTTGTGCCCTTGTGTACGTAGCAGGGGTGCTTGTGTGTTGTATAGCTTTTGCAGAGACAGATTCTGCAACCTCCACTCATTAAATACCCCTACTGCCCATGAAGAGCATCATACTTCAGCCATAGACTCCTTTCACCTCCAGTGCACCTGCTCAAGGAGTAATGAGTGTCAGAATCTGGGTCTTGGAGACTTCCCTAGCTAGAAAACTGAACATCTCCTCTTTCCTTGTAGGGAATCCACACAGTGGGGCACATACAGCATTTCTGCCATTTGCCTGTTCTGGAGAAAATCATCTTTGCAAGAGTTTTCTTGCTTCCCAACAGCATACAGGCAGCTGCCACTAGGGTAGGTGTCTGGCCAGGGGAACCATGTGTGGGAATGTGATGCTCCTCAGGGCACCCAGGGCTGTGCGTTAGCTTGTTGGCACCTGCCTCCAGTGCAAGGGGGGTCTTGCCTGTGCCAGCTGGGTGTTACCTCCCTAATACAACCAGCCTGTCAGTTGCTCAAGCACTCTCCTCTTGACTACATCAGCCCTGCCTTAGGCCCTAAGTCCCTTCAAAGTGTCCCCCTGGGACGTCAAGCCCTGATCACTGAATACCCATAGAAATCCCAGATCCACCATTCCCAAAGTAACAGCTGACCCCCACCAAGTTCCCAGTTTTACAGTAGCCCACCACTCCTGTATCACACACAGCACTTGAGTTTGATTACAATAAAACAAAAGGAAAAATTTACTGACGAAACAGAGATTTAAATAGAAACAAGTGTGAGTGGTGAAAACAAATGGCTAAATACCAAACAAAAACATGAACTAGGACCTACACTTAATAGGCACCTTTCCTGTCTAAGAGAGTAGATTCTTACCCCAAAGTTCAGTCGTTCGCAGCATTTGCTAGCCCTAAGGAGCTAGGATCAATCTTTCATGAAGCAGCCCTGCTCACCACCTTCTTAGTGAATGGATCCAGGGTGTCTTTCTCCACTACTGAATCAGTCTTTTGTCTTTATTCACAGACCAAGTGATCCCCCCACTGCCATATCATCTTTCACTTCCAGGTAGTTTCAGTGCTTATAGTTTGTCTTTGATGGTTTTCCATTGACTGTTCTGGGTGGATGCAAAGGTGGACAATTGTGGACGTTATGTAATTGGCTAGCCTGAGAGGGGTGACATCTCCTTCTTCGTAAATGGGGCATCACCGAGACAATTATTCTCCGATGACTCACTTTCACTCCGAGACCATAAGGACATAATTTTCAATAGTTACATTATTCCTTAAATATTACCCATACACACATCTTGCAATGATGAGGAGTACTGATAAGTTACAAGCTTTCAGTACAGACCTCACCCTTTACGGATAAACGCCATGAAAGTGGCATATCAAGCGTTGTGAGTGTGTCAGCTCTGAGACAGGACTTGCTTGCAAAGAACAGTGAACCTTTTGCCAGCTGGCACAAATGGGCCTCCCTGTCACAGCCAAATTAATTCACTGACTAAAAAAAAAAAAAATGTGGCTATTTTAAGATAGTAATGATCTGACTCAAGCTGACAAAAGCCGAGGAAATTCTTGGCACCCTTAGAGGAGAAGCTAAGCTTGGCAGTGCCAGGCAGAGCAAATGCCCCTGCTGTCCTCGGAAGAGGCCCTTCCAGGTCAGGGCACCATGAGGAACATCGTAAATGCACTGCTCCTGTGACATCAGTTCGGCGGATGAATAAAGGCCTCCAGTCTGCATGGCTGTCGCTCTAGCAAATGAGTTCTCAAGCTGCAGCCCACGGGCCACTTGCGGCCCAATCAGTACAGTACAATCACTGTGGCCCATGTGATATCCTCAGGGCCATACAGGTAGCATTGTATGTGGCCCACATAACACATTGCGGGCTGCAAATGCGGCCCACAATGGTAAATAGGTTGAGAACCACTGCTCTAGCACCTACCCAGAAGGAACTTGCTGGAGCAGTGAATGAATCGTGCTTGTGTGCACGTTGTAAGTTCAAATCCTCTTACAGAAGTTGTGAAAATCCTGCCACCTTCACAGAAATCATAACATTTAGGAGGCCAGGAAAATTCTACTGCTGTGAGCCAAATTAATCCCTGATGTAACAGGCATCAGTGGAGTTATCCCAGGGGTGAATTTGGTCAATCCCATGTGTGTGACCACCTGTTCTCCTCTAGCTTGCCATTCAGGGATCTCTAAGCATTCTGGGATCTCAGAGGGGAGCTGCGATTCAGAGGCAGACCAGGGTTGGTTAAGGGTAGCACCGGCAGCCGTAACTCTGATGCCACTGCTTTTTTGGCTATCATAAGGCGAACACTTGAAGCCATTTCAGACTGGACGAGATGTGAACGGAACTGCCGTTCCTTTCCTTCAATGTCAGAACAGGTCACATTGATGCAAGGTTGGCCCTGGCAGAAGATTGGCCTTGTAATTGTTTTGATGGCCGAGCTATAACCAACTGAGTCACAAAGCCCTCGGAAATCAGGATTTAGAACTTAAAACCCAGAGACACTCTGAACTCCATCAGGCCTGCTGGGTGTTACTCTAATAAATGAATACTACGTAACATGGAGTTTCCACCTATATGTGCAGTGTGGCTTCAGGTTAGGAGTGATGGCATACCACAGACCAGCAGCGAGGCCGAGGGTCCTGACTTTCTTTCCCCAGGCTGTGGGACCACAAGCATTAAACCGTGGGCAAGAGAAGCGGTGGAAGTGAACATGACTTTATAAGGCTGAACACAGTGGTAGTCTAAAAGCAGATGTGCAGATGGTGTGGTAAGCGCTACTATTCAATACACTATTAATTTCTCTTGTTAAATTCCAGTATATTTTTTAAAGACCGTATCCTCTCCAGGGCCTCTGGGGCACTAATTATTATGCTAATATGTAAACCTTGAGAAGGCTGGCTGTTGTGAATTAATCAGCCCCTCTCCTGTTTACTTGTTTGTGTATTAAACACTGTAGCTAAGGCACAGCAAAGCAAAGGGGAGGTAATGCCCTTCATAGGATTTTAAATCTTCTGGGATCACAACTGAGAAACTGCTCTCCTCTGTGCCCTTCGTGGGTTCTTCTTCAAGCAGAGGATCCTCAGCTTATTCCAGCTGCATTGAGCCTCCCAAGTGGGTTTCAAGCTAGACGTCATTTCTAACTGGACAGCGCATTAGTTACAACAGCGGCCCCAAAGATTGAATTGTGCAGAGTTGTGTCTGCACTAACTGGGTTAGGGCTGT